TGGCTCAACACTTACCTCGTCATGCTGCTGCGATTCAAACCAACAAAGGACAGCCTACCAGTCTCCTCAGCCACAAACAACAAAAAATAAAGAAATTCACAATGGACGAGCCCCCAATTTGTTACGACTGGCTCTTAGGCCGCAACAAAGGAGGAAACACAGGTGGATTCAGCTGTAACATAAGGCTATTTATTGAAACAAAGTAGAATCGTGAGGTGTGATTGTGAACGTCAGTGGTGTGCGAGGGTGTATGAGTGCAGTAATTGATGTGTGGTGCATGTTGTCAGCATGAAACAAACAAAAAGAGACAAACACAGGAGCATGGCTGGTAAGGGAGAAGAGAGCAATCTGGCACAGCAGGCTGGCTTATATAGTGAGTGAGATTGGCCAGGTGCACCAGGTTAGCAGATTGGAGGCTCCGCCCAGCCAGAAACCTGCAAGGTAGGAGTGAGAAGACAGAGGCTCTGGGGCCGTAACACTTCTTATCAGGTATTTCAGAAAGGTACCTTTTGTATTTTACATAATATCATAGTTTTTGTTTAGTAAACTAGTGTTTTATCATAGATTCTTAACCTCAATATATTTATAATTGCCAGGTCAAATTTGAATAATCAGTACTGTAGGGTATAATATTTATATTTTATGTATTATTTTACATAATATTTAAATTACTTAGATAAATTAACACAATGAATATTAGTACAGGGTCTTAATCTTAATATTTTAGATTTGTTTATATTATATATGACATTATAGGGTCTATATTATTTTCGTGCATTAAAAAAAAAATCTAGATGATCAAAAATGTGCAGCTATATTTATACAGACTGTTGTGTAGTTATTTACATGTCTGGATGGAAGAATCCTAATTTTGTAAAGTAGCTGTCATATTTCCCTCTGAAGCGATGTGGACTGTAAACATAAAGCCGCATGAAGTGAAAATAAAACACAAAAGTACTTCAAAATCGCACAGTTTGAAAGAAAACAGTCAAAACGTTCACACACGGGTTTGATTCGACCTCCGAGAGACTCGCTTCTGGCTTTAAGCTGACCTAAAAAAGAAGGTCTGTAATGAACAAGGCTGAGGTATAAACACTTCAGTTTTATTGTAGTATCAGAATTAGTCATGCCAGTGGTTATATTTCCATGCTGTGGTGACTTTCAGTGTAGACAAAAGCTGGTTAGTTCTAACTATCATCACATTGTGACCACGCGGCGGGTCGACGGTCAGAGTCAGCAGCAAAAAAACTAAAAGAAAAAAAACAAAGCCACCTCGCATGTCGGTTAAAACGCAGCAGGACCAGAAGTCACCTGGCCGAGACCTCAGATACACAAACCAACTGAGGTTTTAATGCCCGGCAGAAATGATTCACGAGTGGAAAATCATCTCAGTTTTATTTCTTTTTTTTTAAATCTGTACAGTGCACCTACAGGGGACACGAATGCAACCTAGACTCTCTATAGAGGAACTTGATGAGCGTGGGAACAGCTTGGCCAGGGCACCTTCCCATTTACCTGAGCTATGTTAACACCGAGACTCTCCAACGGGCTCCTATGAAAGCCTCCAAAGCGAAAGCCCTCCGTCGAGCTGCTGTTACAGAACTTCCTGGTGCTCGGAGTGTCGGCGTGAAGAGGCAGGAAGTGGAAACTGACAGTGAAAAGCGTCTTGAGATTATTTGTTCGTCGCCAGGGAAACGGTGAAATGCAGCTTTTCTTTGCGTCTGTGCACACGTTCCCTAAAGACTAATAAATTAAAACAAACGAACAAAAAAAAAAAAAAAAGGGAACTATCGTCTTCAATGTCACATTTAGTAGTTTCAACACACAGCAAATGTCAACAGAAAAGAAAAGAAGGAAGGAGTGACGATAAAACAGTGACACTATTAAATCATCTGTGGCAGGTTTATAATTTAAAGTAAAAACAGAGGTGAGCGGTTCGGCCGGCTGCACAGGTGTCAGAGTGTTCAGAGGAGACGTCGGCCTGCAGTCCTCAGCTTCGTGTCATCGTGGTCCGACTTCAGATGCAAATTGTCTCTGGTTGTTTGTTCCTGCGTTGGTGTTCAGGTGGAGGGAGGAGGCGACGTCGGGTTTGCCTTCAGGCCGCCGTCACTGCGGCGTCGCGTCTCCGTTCACTTCTACGCCGTGCTGCTGCAGCTGCGCTCGAAGCAGCGCGTTATCGTTCTTTAGTTCCTCGATCTGGGAAAACACGAGAGTAGATGATTAGGTGAGGACAGGACGGCAACAAAGTCTGGTTAGTGAACACCAGAATCCACCAGAGGGTTCAAAACTAACTTTAAAAACTGGTTTCTTCTTCCACCTAAAGTTGGTTCTGACACCCAGCTGCACCTTTTCTTACTGGACACCTTGAACGTCCCCAAAAGGACCAGTTAAGTCTCCATCTGTCTCCGATTACACCGTTTATCAAAACTGAAAATGGTGAACATTAAAGGTTCTTGTACTCCTCATTGGAAAACAGTTAGCCTAAAGTCAAAACATGTCATAAAAACCACAGAGCAGAAAAAAGACAAGAATGAAAGCAAACTAAAAATGTAAATACTAAAGTATCTACAGCAGGGGTGTCGAACCCCGGTCCTCGAGGGCCGCAATCCAGCATGTCTTAGATGTGTCCCTCTTCCAACACACCTGATTCAAATGATCAGCTCATCATCAAGCTCTGCAGAAGCCTGATAACGATCCTGATCATGTGAATCAGGTGTGTTGGAAGAAGGAAACATCTAAAACATGCAGGATTGCGGCCCTCGAGGACCAGGATTCGACACCCCTGATCTACAGTATGAGGAGTCTACATCTTTTTCCCCCACTGTTGGTAACACCCGTGGAAATGTTGACTCCAGGTTTTGTCCATTTTTTCAAAATAAATTATCAAAGAAATTGTACTTTTTCTGTCTCTTTTTTGTTGAAGGATTTGTGTCATTCTGTGTCATACAGCAGAAGATCTTTGTCCTTGTAGCTGTGGCTGTGCTGTTTCCATAAAGGTCACAACACACCGTCCCACCATCAAGCACGGAGGCGGCAGCATCATGACATGAAGCACGGCGGTGGTTCGGTTTGGACTTGGTGCGTTCAGGGAGCAGCTGGTTTACCTGTTGTCTAAGCAGCTCGTTGTCCATCTCCACTCGCTCCACCTCTTTGTAACTTTCCTGCAGTCGCTGGTTACTCTGGCGAAGCTCGCGGATGTAATCACAGGCTTTGGACAGGATGCCTCCTTTACTCTGAGGAACACAACATGTTCAGGTTGACTCACCACTTCCTGCTATTTTTACTTTCCTCCTGGTACAGAAATCTTTTCCAAACTTTCCTCCGGTGACTAAATACTTCCATTAAGTCTTGGATCCACATCAGATAAACTGAACAAACCGCCCCACCGAATGCAAACACGAGTTAAAAGAGTCGAATTCTGGCTAAGATGGAAAGCTTGGCGGCGGTTCCAGCGGGTGTTTCACTGATTGAGCCCAGCGGTTACACAAGCCTAAAGGATGAGCAGACAATGAAGTATTCCAAGTACAGTAGGTGGAGAAAAGTACTGCTCAGAATAAGAGTCATGCGTCTAAATTTAAGTAAAAATACAAAAACATTAGCATCAGAATATGTTTAAATTACCAAAAGTACACACAGTCGTTATGCACAGTTTTAGATTAATCTGCATTACATGATTGGAATTAAATGACTGATGATGATTAATGTGTTCATCACGCTGGAGCTGGAGAAGCTGATTTAATTACTTTATGAAGCTCGTTTGCTGGCTAGCTTTGGAATTTCCTCTCTGGGATCAATTAATTAATCTATAACATTACATCATAATTTATTTGTTGATTATATTTTAAACTATTTCACAAAGCAACTAAAGCCATCAGACAACTTTAATAGAGTTAAAAAATTAGAATATTTGCACCTGAATTGTCGAGGATTAGGAGCAGAAAGGATCAGAAAATGGAAAGTACAAGCAAAACTCTACGTCATGATGCTGCCACCGCCGTGCTTCGCTATAAAGCACGGCGGCGGCAGCATCATATTTACTTAGTCATTCTCTACTGCTGCTCTAATGAACGTAAAAAAAAAGCATTTTATTGATTTTTAAACACTGAATCTGTTTTTACTTTGACATGAAAGAGTCTTTTTTTTATTATTTTTTGGGGTAAAATCTTGGGAAAAACTTCCAAAGAAGGTGAATACTTTTCATAAATGGAGGTTTGAAGCAAATCTAAAAAGATCCGGGACGTGAAACAGCTGCTTTCAGGCCCAACGAGTTGGTATTAGCAGCGCGACCTAACAACACCCCTCATCTTTACAGCTCTATTTGATCTACTCGAAGCAACAGGTGTGCAGACAAAAAAAAAAGAAAAGCGGCCATCTGTCGCCGCTGTTGGAGTCGTGCACACCGTCCGAGTAAACACGGCGCTCGCTCACCGCTCCGGTTCGACTGTCCACGCTGCAGTCGGGGATGATTTTGGAAAGCGTGACGATCCAGTTGTTGATCTTGTCTCTTCTTCTTCTTTCCACTGCAAAGATGGAGACACTCGTCAGAACTTCACACGTTTAAACGAGGAAAAACAGCTGCTTAGACGTTTACTGTCCTGACGTCAAACTGCACGAAGCTTCTCACGCGTTTATGTGCAACAGCTACGTGAATTAAAACCCAAACACAACAAGATGTCTACAGTCGTCCTCAGATGTATTCACAGCCGTCCATTAAAGACAAAGAAAAACTCACAACAGTCA